AAGAAGTTAACTATTCAAACAAACCTCTGCCCCGATGTCGCCATTCTTCGTCTCTTCCCGTCAATTTCTGTTGAAGCAGTGAGGAGCTTTTTCAAACCACCAATGAAGGGTAAGCTGCATGTAGTCTGATAGCCTTTTAGTAATGGCGAACATTCTTTAGTGCATACTCATCATACCAATGGATCATTGAATACCTTGAATTTCATGATGAGAGAAAGGGAAGTTGGTGGTTGGGATCGTTGAGATTTGAGTTAATTACCTGGCTTAACTGAGGGAAAATTCGTTGATAGTTCCTTGATATTTTCATACATAGGTTTAGTTTATCTCCTTTGCTTTTAGAAAGAGGATAAGTTCAGGTCTTAATATGCCAAACAGTGAAGATGGAAGTTGGATTGGTGCTTTAACTTATCCTTGGATTTGAAAGACCTAAATAGGAGCCAATATAGTCACTGAGGTCTACTCATCATACACCACAGTGGTCTCTCCTTCCACCTCTGAGAAAATGGGTGGCGCCGCATTTCACGGTTATAGCGCGCGCGCGTATCACCGAAATAGGGTTTTATAGCATAAACATTTCCAGAAATATGAGCTCTCAATAAGAAAAGGGTGATTTCACCTATTATTAACGTGAAGATCATATTTGCTTTGAGAAAAACGTGGATCGCGGAGCAACGGGCTAAGCCCGTGGGTTTTGCATTGGAAATGACTCATCCCTTGCGAGGAGAGTCAAGCTTCCGACCCACACATCACCAAGTTAATCAGCCCGCCTGTTTACTACTTAATGGATATAGTTCAGTGGGTTGACGGCTAATTGCTGGATTCGATTTTTCGGTTCTTAAATGGCTTCATATATGTGGATTCATAACTGATTGCTGGATTTCCTGGAACCTCGATAGGTTTGCTGCTTCTAATAGATCTAAGTAGATGCTGCATTTTATTAAAGATTCAAAGACAACCTTTAATCCATTGTACATGGCATGCTTTTTAATAAATCTTAACTGGGTAAAGCATTTCACATTTTTTTCCATTTAAACAAAAGTGCCGTCTTATAGAAGGGGGTTAGCAAGGAATTCATGACATTTTAAACTAGAATTAAGTGAGTATGAGGGGAGGGGAGGGGAGAGGAGGGGTGGTTGTATCGACTATTGTCTCGTGATCTCGGAGGCCCTTACTTCAACGCGTATGGGTGGTGGGGCCAACCCGGTGAATTTTATTGTCACATGGTCTTCTTAATTTCGCCTAAATTCTCAATAAGCCACTCCAAATGAAGCGGTGCAATATTTGGCGAGTGCAATGAACACCTTTGTACAATCTCATAACACTGTCCTCGCTCCAGTTCCACTTGTTTTAAGTGGATAAGAATGGGTTTGTGGAAGACATGATTATGATAATTTGAACCGCGTCTAAACATGTGTGATAAAAGTTGTCATTTTGGGGGTAGTGTTTCCTCAATGTTAACCCAAATTAACTCCGAAATGAACTCTGACTAAAGTTTTGAGCTTATAATATCTTATTAGAAATTGTTAATTTTGCGTTCAATCACGTGATCGAAGTCTTCCAATTTTACTCTATCATCTACAAACACTAAAAGTTGTGGCATAAAAGTATACGACCAATTCTGTATTGATGAGTATTTTCGGTAATTGTTACTTCATTATCTAGTAACAATGTCAACATCAATTGAGAAGAGGATTAGAAGCGTATATTGCGATCAGATTCCCAACATTGGTTATAATTCTTCTTCTTCCTCTACTTACTCTTCTTCTCCTCTCCCACCCTTCCTTCCCTCTATCCCTCACCTACGACTTTACACTCATTCTAAGGTTCACTGATCAATCTTCTATTCATCAAAATTTTGTATTGAAATTGTGCGAATGTACAAAGTTTGCTTCAACGATTTAAAACTACTTGCACATGCACTAGATATGGCACTTATTCCTCTAGACATTAGACATTGGCGCAGCATAACTCTGAAGTTGTAATTGTGCCCTGGAAAATGAGTTGATTATATGATTCAGTGCAGTACTGACGAAAGAGGTCAAGTCGCTTATACATATAGAGAATAGCTCGGAAAGGCATTTAAAGTTACTGTCTACTATGCTCGAACTTAGCTTTCCATAAAAGTTTCAAGGTGGTTGAGGTGGTGCATCATAGTTTGAAAGATGAGAATCGAATTCATGGATATGTCCCACGGAATTCTTTTATGTCACTTTGAACACGCTAGCCTGTGTGTACCTTCTGTAGAGATTTTATAAACATTTTTGGGCTCGAAAGAGTTTTCATTGCAGGAAAACTGGAGGCGTTTTACATGCTCACCCAAATGAAAGGTTTCCGAATTTGAATTTGTCCAGATATCCGTTGAGTAAGGTCGTTGTAGTTCATGGGCCTATGAGATTGGTCATTTTACTTTCAGACAGTGTTAGGGGAAGATTAGTGTTAATGGAGCACTTTTCTTATTACCTTTTATATGATGTTTAGGCACTAACTCCTTCAAGTCTTTAGTTTTTTCACTTTTCTTTCCAGGAGTGATTCTGGAGACTTATGGTACAGGCAACGTGCCTTCCAATTACATGGAGTTAATGGAAGTCTTTAAGGAGGCCTACGAGCAGCACAAGATCATTATGCTCAACGTCACTCAATGCTGGAAGAGATCTGTGGCTCAAGTCTACGAAACTGGAGCCGTTCTGAACAAAGTTGGTGCCATCTCTGGTTGTGTAAGTGGTAGCTATTGCATTGCACTTATATGAAATATATATGTATATAGTAGATTTCGATTGAAGCTGAGCAATTTCAGCTCATAGCAGCGTTATAATTAGCTTTTTAGTGTTTCCAATCCATATTAAACATTCTCAGGTTGGATTTAACCTGATTCACAAATAGCACATTTTGTTTGCAATCTGTTCTTCTTGCTGAGCACTATCACAGGTAATGCATGTTTTGGGAATCTGTTTTTGATTTCGATTGAGCATTAGACGTCCTTAATGTTTGGTTTTCTAAAGAGTTAAATAGAAGTATCTTTCTAATCCCTATATCAATCAATAATTCCATTTTGATGTGATAAAAATGCTCAAAATGGGCAAGTAATGCTGGTTTATATATATATATATATATATATATATATATTACTTCGGCACTCGTACGGCTGGTTACAGAAATTCACAGTGTGCTAGTCAAGTAGCCCATTGATGAGCATTTTAACGTTTAATGATATGTATTTCAGGTCACTTTTCAATTGAAATTGATAAATATTGAAATCGAAGATTGAGAGAAAGTGGATATTTCTTTGAGAATTGTACTTTCCTTTAAGATTAAAAGAAGACGAGAATAGACTTCCTCATCAATAGAATAGTAGTCGTCATTTTAGAGCATCACACAATAAGTAACTACTTGTACTCTCATAGAGATTGAATTTGGCCTTCATATATTTCAGCTACTCGCTAACTTAC